AAATCTCGGAGACTATAGCGAAGAACAGGGTGAACGGTTTCATCAAGATATTAAAGAGATGGAACGCCGGTATCAAGGAAGATGGGATGTAAATATGATGGCAGATTTTTGCTGGATGGTTAAAAGGGAAAACGAGTCAGAAACGGAAAAAAGAAAAAGAAAACCGCTGCATAGATCTTTTGAAGATAAAAAGGTCCGTTACAAGAGAAGAGAAGTATAAATTCTATCACTTTGCACACCAAACTCGAGTAGTCGGAGCAATTCTAATTTTGGATTTGGAGTCAGCGACCCTCAAAACCATAGAAATACTAGTTACATTTTTTTAAACTACGTTTTCTTGAGTTTGACCTCCAGATGACCTTGAACCTGATGTGCTTGGGTGACGGAGATCACGGATTTGGATTCAGCAACCGTCAAAACGTATGGAAAGAGTTTTTTTATTCATTGAAGACGTACTTCTGTTTTTTCAAAATGGTCATACTGATTTTCATGGGATCAAAATACAATGACCTCGTAATGACCGCTAGATTCACGATAAAAAAAATTGAAAAAATTGTCTCTGAACGAAATTTTTTCCGTACTTTCAAAATCTGTAGTCAGAATTCAACTTTTCGTGCAATATCTATGTTTGACCTTGAAATGACCTTGAACCTGGCGTGCTTGGGTCAAGGGGATGTCGGATTTATGTTCAGCGACCCTCGAAACCATAGAAATACTAGTTACATTTTTTTATACTACTTTTATTCGAGTTTGACCTTCAAATGACCTTGATCCTGACGTGCTGGGGTCAAACTGACTGCGGATTCGGATTCAGCGTGGCAAAATACATGGGAATATATGTGTGTTGTTTTTGATACAGACAACTTTTTATTTTTTGTGTGCCTGTGTTTTCATTCGAGAAATAATATTATTAGGCGTCAGTCATTGGTTCATAAACAATTTTCGTCATCAAGATATTTAAATTTTTTTAAATATTCTTGGTTTGAAAGTGGATATCTCAAAGAAAAATCGGAAAAATTTGATAATCAGGTAGATTTCAGTTTCGGGGATTCTTGTAGTTCAAAATGCGAAATCGAAGGCTGCCAAAACGCTGCAATTATACGTTGTGGCTAGTGTAAAAAGTCCCTATGTTTTATAACGAGTGAAATTGTAGACTCGTTATATCTCTTTCTCCCTAGTAACGATAAGTAAATGTAACATATTCCTCCGAACCTATCCTATGTATTTATGAATTTATTATATATATATATATTCATTTATTACCTATATTTGCATATTTAATTACACTTCTGTTCTGATATAAGATAAGTGAGGTGAGAGAGAGATGCGAGTACGTGAGGATACTTCCATGCGCGACAGCGAAGAGAGAGAGAGAAACATAGTCGCGCCTTGGCGAGTGACCGCGCGCACTGATTGGCTCATTAGGACGAAATCGAGTAGTTGAGTCCGCGGCACGAGGAGTAGCTGTGTAGACTCGAGAGTGAGCACAGGGTTCTTTGTTCTGACGGCCTTCTTTGCTTGAATCTTAATTGTGACCTGCCATCCCCTTCCTTCGATCGTGGAGTGCGTGTCCTTATTCAAGGAGGAATTGCGACGTCGCCTGGCTCTGTAGGGAATCTACATACGTGGGCTGCAGCTGGTAGTACGGAACATCGTTGCGCGAGGCATCATCGTTAAGAGAATCGAGCTGTATAGTGCACGCGGTACCCTACTATTCGTGCGTCCGCGTCAACGCAAATTGTGTAAATCGTCGACGTACCTAGAGGTCGAGCACCAGCATTGTAAATACCGGCTTCATGGTTTACTCTCTCTCTCTCTATCCATTCACTCAACGTGCTCTCTCCCTCCTTTCGACCGCCTTTGTTAGTCTTTTTTTTGATTAAAGATATTGTTCACTGTAAACATTTTAATTTAATCGCATCCCGTCGCTTTCTTCGAACGTCCCGCTTTTTCGCGCCGACAACCGCGTTCGAATTTCCGACTTTCGTGATCCTTAGCCAACACTACGAATATGCGCTGATCCGGCCGTCCTATCACCGGCGTGACGAGCACCAGACTTGGGAGGACGACTAAATCCAGGAAGCTTCAGACTTCGTTTGGACATTTCCCATTTATTGTTTTTTTTATATTTACGGGGTAAACAGGGCTAAAACCCCGTTATAGTTTCAAACATTTTTTTGATGATTATCATTACTATTCAGACTTTAACAAATAAAAAATGTTAAAAAACTGTTCCTTCTGAATTGTATTAAATTTTATAAAAGTTTATATTAGTAAGTGTGCAGCACTCTATCAACAAATTGGTACAAAGACAAATGAGTTAAAAGTAGAGTCATGTAAGATAATATAGATTAAATATAATTTTCCCTTTTTATCGATTCTGTATAAAAATAAGATTTTCCACCATAAAGGGTTATAATAGGAAATCATATTAAATTTTTCAGTTTATTTTCATTAGAAACGGGAGTTGCAATGCCTATAATTTAATTAAAAACAAAGAAACTGTTTACCTCTGTTTTCTTTCAAAACATAAACTGCTCAAAACGAAGCTATTTTTCCACTGCGAAAATTCTTGTCAATTTTTCAATTTTTCACCTATCAAAAATAGGGGTTGCAACTCCAAAATTGGCGGGAGATTAGGGAGTAAAATAATGCCATTTACAAGAGGCGGTAAAGGGATTCACAAATTAACCTAGAAATGATTAAAACGCAAAAATAAACAAGCAGCTTATACGCAAAAATGAAATAAGAAAAATGATTGATGAAGCGAACACAGAAAATTACATTACAAAGTAAGTGAATGGTAGAAAAGGAAACGCGATTTGACACAGTCGATCGAATAAAATTAAAATTAAAATGAGAATTAAAATTGTCTAGCGTGTAGATAGCGCTAAATGAAAAATACAACAAAATCAAATGAAATAAAACAAAACAAGATGAAGTAAAATAAAAATAAAATTAAAATAAAATTAAAATAGCCATCGCGATGACTAAGCGCAAGAATAGATTAAGTTAAAAGTTGTGATGCGGCGAAGAAATAACACCGGCAGTGAGGAGTCTCTCCGAGTAGATTGAAATATGTGGATTAACGGTAAAAATTGTTGATACAGGTACTTAGCAGCAAAAATTTTGGAAGTGTGTCGCTACTCACCGAGAGAGAGAGAGAGAGAGAGAGAGAGAGAGAGAGGCAAAGGAACAAGCGAAAAATAATAATATAGTAAAAATAATGAAATAATAAAATAATGTGAATCGCCATCACTCGCACATTGGATTTCTTCGAACGATGTAACATAGTAAGGTTCGTACAACAAATGTGAAAATGTCCTATTGTAAAGGAGAGAAAACAATATGAACAGTGCTAAAGAGAAGCTTTTTATGGCTTTCCGGAGTTTCTGCCATTAACACCCAGAAAATTGATATAAACCGTTTAGAAATCGTCAAAGCGACCGTTTATCCAAGCAATTCCTTCCGTAGTTGCATTGCAGCAGCTCGTTAAATCTTTGACCGTGAATTTGCCCATCTTTCAGAGGCACTTAGCGGAGTGAGCTTAGTTGCGCGCTGTGGTTTGCTTCAGGCTATTTCCTTCAAATGTTTGTCTTGTTATTCGATCTAGAAGGATCCAATAAAATTTTTATTTTCAAGTAAAGAATATTCCAATATTTATCAAATGTAGGTATGAATTATTACGTTATATACATAACGTGATGGATTCACAGAATGAAATTTGAATATAATTTCTTATTTTTATAAAACCCGCCTTCAAATATTTCATTTAACAGTTTTTTATTTTTATAAAATGCAATTGAATAGTCAACATTATATTAATATATTTTTTAACGGGGGATTTCGTTCTGGGAGCGAACAGAATTCTTACCCGTTAAGGAATGGTTGTTCCCAGCGTCGCGAGGCTGACCGCCGCCTCGATCAACTCGTTCGAACGGCGTCGATCTTTAGACCTTCCGCCCCAGAGCCCGTGAAAACCTACACGTGCAGGACACGTGCGGAAATCCGGGTTGCCCAGTGACTCGTGGTCGGGCAGGTTCTGTCGCGGGCGTCAAGAGAGAACAACCAAGGGGATTTGAAAGAAAGAACTCCAGGTCGATTATCGAAAGAATCGGTATTTTTATTTACGCCCGTCACTTCAAGCTTACAATTGTAATACCGCGGCCGAGAGGTTTTGTCGAGTGTCCCGCGGACGCGGCGAGAGAGAGAAAGACAGCGCACTATCTAATCGCACTTGGCGCCCGGACGCATTTACATTTAAAGTCGATGACTTACGCTACTAGGACGAGTCGCTGAAGATTGAGTGGCTCTGGCGGTATGTACAGGTCGTGTTAGCTCCTACCGTTTCTCGGTGAGGGGTCTCTCAGTCGGGGCTCCCGCTGCCCGAAATTACAGTTGCCCGCGACCCTTGACTGCTGCCTCGGATCGCTCCGGGCAACCGATAATGGGCAGCGAACGACCTTTATCTGAGAGGCGATTACTAGGCGACCTCGAGGTTACTGGGTCTTCTTACGATATTTGCCAGGTTGCCCCTCGAGCTTCACTGACTCAAACACTTGTTATTTGCGTTCTCGCTATCCGCAGGTCCGGACTTGACTGACTGTACCTCTTCCCTCTTCCGTTGTCGCGCGCACGCCGCCCGGCGGCCTGATCGTTCTCCTTCCCCTTCCTATTATCCCTAATGCCTCGTGGTACGCGCGTCTAACTCGTTTTCTTTTCTGCGGATCGGCTTTTACGTAGCTCCATGCGATAGGGGCGCTTAGGTCACACCTTTAACGAGCGACACTCGTTACAATTTTAGAATTATCTTATCTGAAAATTGCGTAATATACATTATAAAATTACTTTTTTCATACTTTAATTATTTTTTTCGGTCTAAAATTATTTTTCCAAATTTTTATTCGGTACTCAACAATATTTATTGATTATATTATTGACTATATTCTTCTAAGAAATAGAAGATAATACATGAGTATAATTATATAGAATGAGTATACCTTTATAACAGGAAAAATATGAATACAATCTAATCCTTGAATTTGATGAGGTTCAATTTGGTAAGGGCAATTCATTTTTGGCAACACAGCAACTATTTTTTCCGTCAAAGCTCTGAAATAATCCATGCAATATTAGTGAATAAATAATGCAATAGTGAATACATATATTTTCAATGTGACTGAAATATCACCAACAATTATCCAATCATATAGATGCAAAAATATTCGATAAACATCCTAAGACATTTTAAAGAGCTTCTTTTAAATTTCAATACAATATCACGTCTTTATAGTGCGTTAAGTTAAGAAAAATAAAGTATCAGCTACAATGTACTCATATTATATATAAAATGTACACGATATTTAATTATACTCCACATAAATCTTCAGTTATGCTGAATATTTTCTTTATTTACTTGTGATAGAAAATCGCTGATCAAGGAGAACGATTAGCATTTTAGGTTAAAAATTAAAAGCAAATTCGTAAAGCACGTACATTGCTATTTGTCGAAAATTACGCAGGTCTGCATAATTTTGTTATTGGCCAACGGAAGGTCATTTCCGAAGTAATTTTTTGCGTATAATTTGAATTTGAAGTCAGAATTTGTCCATCACGTCAGTTTATTTAGATATCCTAACCTAAAAGAGCAAAAAAGGTAGTTTTTTGGTTTATTTGAGGTCTTATAACAACGCAGATAAATACTCTTACCCTCTAAATCCCATATTTCAGATTTAAGATATCTTTTTTGTCATCAAGATATCGTTGATTAGAATCACGTATTTTAGCAGTTCCGAAACAGCCAATTTCCTGGATGCGGACATATGACACATGTAAGGCTATAACCTCACGCCTTTATAACCTAATTTCCATAATCCCGAGCACTGTAAACTATGACATCATAGCCCTAGACTCTTAAATCCCTATTTCCTTAACCCTCAAACCCTGTAATGTGTGACGCTATAACCCCAGACCCATATCCTCTAATTACTTTAACTCTTGAGCCCTGTAAGCTGCGACGCTATAACTTAAACTTTAAGTTTCTTTTTCCGCTGTGGTGGAGAGGGTAAGAAGTACTGAGATAGTCTGACGGAACTTTAATTATGAGGCGGCCTGAGGGAAGCAAATGCATACTGCACGGTTTCTAAAGATGCTTTACTAGTGGTCGCAGCCGTAACTCCCGTAGATTTTCTAACTTGCCAGCGTAAGAGGATATATAAGAGATGCAGAAACGAAAATAGGGAATGGTAAGCTAGGGTGGAAAATGATGAGACGGTTGATGCTAGACAGGAGCGATAGATTGTGGAGAGCGATTGGGTCTCCATACTGCGTACTCTGTGGTTACGGAAGGTACAGCCTTTCTTGAGTACCTGTATTTAGAATGAGAGTAGACACAGCATCTAGAAAAATTTATAGGCAAAGACATTAAGATCAATAATGTCACGGAAATGATAAGGATTAGAAGTAAGGAAGATTGAATTTAGATGCACAGAATGCTAGATACACAGAAAGTAACCATATATGTTACCCTTCAAACAATATTTTTTAGCCTGAAGCACTAAATTTCCAAGCATATGACTCTTGTTAAACATATCTAATTTTCTTGACTTTTGTGAAATCTCTTTTGCTTTTGTTCGAGAGATCTTGTGCCAGATCGCCTTTTATATTGTTTATGTGGCTCATCGCGTTGAAGTGACCAGCAATAGTCAGCTACCATAGCTGTAGACCATTTTCCTTGATAACGTCTTTTCATTTCTGCTATATCTTGATGAAAATGCTCACCCTGCTCTTCGCTAATATCACCAAAATTTTCAGGAAATCAATCCAAATAAGAATGCAAATAGTGGACCTTTATGTTCATGTTACAACCTCAATTTTTGAAGCTTGTTAGCATTCCACTTATCAGCTCTTGATAATTAAGAGCTTTTTTGTTACCCGAAAATCCATTCACAACTTTTTTGAAACTAATCCAGGCTTCTTTTTCCTTTACACTCATCATCTTTTTGAAATCAGTTGTTTTCATTAAATCACGAATCTGAGGCTCTATAAATACGAGGGTGATCCGATAAGTACTTAGCCTCACCGCCCGATGGCGCCACTCTCGCAAAAGAAATATTCTATCACGTAGTACAACCTTCTCGATTGTTACTGTCAAGATTTCAACCGTATCGGAGATGTAGTTTATTTTTGAGAGCGTGTGAAAGCAAGTGTGTCCGTTGTAACAGCGTAGTTACGGTAAGGCAAGAAATGTACGATGATTCACGCGATTAGCGCACGGGCGCCAGGCACTGAGGGGAAGTGAGGGAGCAGTGCCTCTCCTTTAGATATGGCTAGCTCTAAGATTGAAGAGCGGGAGCAGGTTCCTGTGAATTTACCTAGAGAGAATGGGATAAGGAACTGGGGATTGCATACAATTAAATGTCTATAATAAAAATTAAAGTAAATGATAAATAAGAGATTTATTATAGATTGAACAAACAAATACTCGGTAATTAAATTAGGCAATTAATATGGTGTTAGAACGAGTACTAACATGATAATGAGCTTCGGCTTACTCGACTAATTCGACAACTAATTAAATTAAATATTTCAAGATTGTAATTTTGAGACTTTGGCTCTCTTCGGCTTGACCGTAAGATAGTCAAGCCAGGCATAGAGGAAAACAAAAGATTCTAATAGCGCGAGGTCACTTACAATCGCTAATGATACAATTGGTTCGCCGAAAGTCAAGTTTCCATTTAGAGTAGGATCGGAGTCACACACATGAACGGTTGAAACAATTTAATAAGCTTGAAATGACTGTTACCTTAATTGCTTACAAAGCTCTGATAATCCACTTACTGATACATGCTCGCTGATTAACACGGAACAAGACCTTTGACGGTAGTTGATTATTTAGGCAAGATAACGGCAAACAACGCATCGTGATCACTTATGATTGAATGAGGCACGCTTTAGCTACTCAAAGACTGAATGCGTAATGCAATTTCGAATGCCGGAGAAAGCGTTATCTCGGCGCAGTATGATAAGCGCGGGTTTAGAACGTCCGGCTTTGACCGCAGCCTAGAACTCTCTGCCGGATTCCTTTTCTTCTCCGTCTTTGCTAGCATTGCCCCTCATCTCGTTGTACTTAGCTTCCGAGAGTGGGCTTGGTAATTGTTTGTGTGTACTTGGTGAGTATGTTGTAAGTGTGGTGTGACGTCATATGGCCTTGACTCAGGGAAACATGAAATAAATACAAAATATGAAAATATCGTGTGACCTGTACTTTGTCAAATACGTCGCGAGAGTCAATATTGCTCATTGCGCATGAGAGAGTCAGCAGCGGTCAATTAGCCTACCGCTGCCTGATCTTGTCCCATGTTACACCGTTGATTTTTGAAAAATGGAAAAAGAGCAGTATCGGTCGGTGATTCGATTCTTGTTTTTGGAAGGGAAATCGCGCAGCGAAATCAAAAAGCGCTTGGATGCTGTGTACGGTGACTCTTCTCCTTCGATAGCGACCGTCAAAAATTGGTTTAACGAGTTTCAACGTGGTCGCACGTCGATTTTTGAAGAGCCACGTCCAGGTGCTCCGAAAACGGCTACCACGGAGGATAACGTGACAAAAATTCACGATCTCGTATTGGCAGAACGACGATTGAAGGTACGCGAGATAGCAAAAATCGTAGGCATCTCAAAAGACCGCGTGGGTCATGTCCTACATGAAATTTTGGGCATGAGAAAGCTGTCGGCGCGATGGGTGCCGCGTTTTCTCACTCCGGACGACAAGCGCAACCGTGAGACAACTTCAGAGCAATGTCTGACGCTGTTTAAGCGCAATCCGAAGGAGTTTCTGCGTCGTTTCGTGACAATCGATGAAACATGGATCCACTGGTATACACTAGAGACCAAGGAATAGTCGAAACAGTGGATTTTACCCGACGAAAGTGCTCCGAAGAAGGCGAAGACTGCCCCATCGGCCGGAAAGGTGATGGCCACCGTTTTCTGGGATTCACATGGTGTGATCTACATCGACTACCTGGAGAGGGCCAAAACGGTCACAGGGCTGTACTATGCCGAATTATTGGGCCGATTCAACGTCGAATTGCAGAAAAAACGGCCCCATTTGGCGAAGAAAAAAGTGCTCTTCCACCATGACAACGCACCGGCTCACACCTCCGCCGTCGCCATGGCCAAATTGGTCGAATTAGGCTACGAACTACTGCTCCATCTACCATATTCTCCAGATTTAGCCCCGTGCGACTTCTTTTTTTTCCAAACTTGAAAAAGTCACTCGCCAGGCAGAAATTTGAGTCGAATGAGGAGGTAATCGCTGCCACGGAAGCCTACTTTTCAGACCACGAGGAAACGTATTTTTCAGACGGGTTAGTGTATCGAACTAAAAGGAGACTATGTTGAAAAAATAAAACGCCACTTTTCCAAAATTTTCGTTTTTCTTTTGTAGGCTAAGTACTTATCGGACCACCCTCGTATACCTTCTTTTATCTTTGCATTACTCAGGTTAGGATATTTTTCAATGAGGTACTTGAAACAAGCATTATTTTTATCAAGAACTTTTACAAATTGCTTCATCACCACCAATTTGATATGTAGTGGCAGTAGTAGTATTTTTTTGCATCCACCAATGGATTTTTTAATATATTAGGATCGCTTATTTTGAGAGAAGTACGAGTAGATCAATCCTTTTTAACATAGTGCTGCTTTCCTTTTTTACTATTTCATAAAGATATGAAACATGGGTGCTTTGTAAACCCTGACTATTGTCCAAAAGTGTATCAGCGATTTTCTAATTGAATTTACGATTCTCATATTGAATATTTCCCTTTATGATCCCATTTATGATTTTCATATTGAATAGCTTGGAGATTAATATCTACATTTTCATATGATTCTTTCAAGTAAGTGGAATGAGCAATAGGCAAAGGAGCATATTTATTAGAGTTATGTAACAAAACTCTTTTCAAACTCCTTTTAGAGAAGTCGATAAACAACTTCCAATCAACAGGATCATATGTCAGTCCACATTTTTGCATTAAACCATGAACATTATTGCAATAAATATAGTTCTTACCTTGAACAAAGAACGAAGTAAATGACTTTTCTCGATGTCA